TCCACTATAAATTTGGAATTGCACTCTTAAAATAATAAAAATAATTATGTTCACGGAATTTGTGTTGTCCATTGATATAGTCACTACATACGAATTAATCCTCCATAAATGGTTCATAATTAAAGCTAGGTATTTTCCGTTAACCTCTTTAATTATATCTTTCTCCATAAGTACCATTGATCCTCTAATGAATAATATATTTTATGATCCAATCATAAAATTGAGCGCTCTTATTATTCAAGTCCCGAATCAACACTTATGGGAACCGTTCATCTACTTCATTATGAAGGAATGGATTTCATCTTGTAAATTAATATTCCCGGCTATTTATTTTACTATCCTCCCAATATACCAAGACTTTGACACTATTCACATGTGTCATTACTCAATATGTCAAAGAATATAATATCATGAATAGGAGTTTATTAATTACTCAGAATTAAGATTAATTCATATATGACCATCATTGATTAATATTGAATACTCTATTTAATAACGAAATTTATTAGAGATTCATAATTAATTGTGTTCCGGTCCTATGTAATCATATTACATAAAATGCTTTCATTCCAATAATCTCATTATTAACAATCTAGGATAAGATTGTTTCATTCATAATGTAATGAACCGCATTAGTAATTTTAAATTAAAGATCTCAACTTTAATTTATAATTACGGACAAGTTTAGATTATTTTATTTCAAACATTATCCTCTGATATAACAATTATATGCAATGTTTAAAGTTACATCAAAAAATAATCTAGGGATTTTGATATTTATAAAACATCACATGTATGCAAAATAATATTGAAAAAATTCCTCATTTCATTGATAATCAACAAAATATTTACATCTTATTTGATTTATGGGCATATGTCCCAACAATAAGATCATTATTAAGATTATTATTAAGAGATACAAATATATGTATGCCTGCTTGCACATGATAAGATTTAATTTTAAATATAGACCTAAGGAGTAGAAAAACAATAAATTGTAATTCAGAAAAAAAAATGTAATTACAGAATTTGTTGGCATGATATTCATGTACTTGATAAAAAACTTACGTAATATATTTTCTGATTGTTGTTGATGAGCTAGTAATTTATATAATCTTGCATAACTAACTGCTATAGGGAACATGAAAAATTGTGATCATCAGTTTGTATGTCTTTCTATGAACTTGAAATCTACTTTCGATCAGTTTTACATACCAATTAAGTCTACTGAATAATTTCTGCACAATTTATAGGAAATACATGTACAACTTTTTTTTGTTCGCATGTATATATGCATGACATGCAATATTCTATTTTTCTGATTTATGACTGGCTAGCTATATCATTGTCAGCTTCTTCGTCTTCTTTTTTTTTTTTATTTTGCCTCAGAAAAAAAAAAAACTTCTTATAACTTAATAATAAGAAATGATATTCACTAAATATTTTGCCTCAGAAAAAAAAAAACTTCTTATAACTTAATAATAAGAAATGATATTCACTAAAAAAAAAAAAAATAAGACATGACTATATTGAAAATGATTAGATGATTAGGACAAAAAAAAAGACTGATATATCTGAGGAAATAAGGTTCTTTTATGTGAAATGGTATAGTTCCAATCTTTTATCAACGAATTTAATAGAATTTCACCATATGAAAGGAACAACAAAGTGCATATGATATTATAAGTGAATTTCCTCAAATCAAATTAACGGAATGGCTTAAGTTTTTTTGTTTGTTTTTGCTGAAGAACCGAATGGTTTAGTTAGATATAGGTGGTCAGTTATTCCATGTCGTCACAGTTAGTTCTGATAGTTAGATATAGGTGACTAATTATATTGTTTGATAGTTGGTTGTGGTCGACAACTTTAATCGATTATATTTATGTAAATATATGATATTTAAGGTAATATAATATGATATGATATCACACAATATAATTATATATTTATGGAGATAGATAACTAACAAATGTCTTTCGCAATGGATTATTTAGTTGAATTCGATTCTTTTGCTACTTTAAGTTGAAATGGATAATCGATGTAAAGCTTGAAAGCTGGTAAATGATCCACAAGGTAGCTACTTTACTTTTTTTTTTCTTTTTTTTTTAGAATAAAGTTACTTTACTGATAATGTTTGAGGATTTCACAAGAGATTGTAAGGCATTAATATCCTCCGGAATTAACCTTGATTGAATTAAAAAAAAAAATTGAAGGAGAAGATATATATATATATATATATATATATACTTATTTACTCCTCTCTTTTTTTTAATTATTCGGAGAAATTTTATGGCTGACTTACAAAAACTTAAGATATATGGGTATGATTTTAATGGTAATTACTCCAATATTTACTCAGCAATGAGTGTCATTATTTTAACCGTTGGATTTTGATCCAAAACTTGTATTAAATTGAATAATTCAAAAAAAAATAATTAATAAAATTTGATTCTTATTATAGCACATCATTAAATTTCTATATTTAATGAGTAACCGTCATGGAAATGTAATCATTAGAAATACATGATCTTAATATATTATATATAATGTATATAAATATAGTGGTTGTATATATTAATTTCAAAAGTCGCCTTCAAATATTATTACTATTATTTACTCAGTAATGAGTGTCATTATTTTAACCGTTGGATTTTGATCCAAAACTTGTATTAAATTGAATAATTCAAAAAAAAAATAATTAATAAAATTTGATTCTTATTATAGCACATCATTAAATTTCTATATTTAATGAGTAACCGTCATGGAAATGTAATCATTAGAAATACATGATCTTAATATATTATATATAATGTATATAAATATAGTGGTTGTATATATTAATTTCAAAAGTCGCCTTCAAATATTATTACTATTATTATTATTTTTTTTTTGCTATTCAAATATGAATTCAATTGAAAATGGTAATAAGAGTTATTTGAGCGCATAATATTGAGGAAAGCAATTATCAAGAACTGGAATAGAATCACGTTGTGAACATATTAATATTAGGAAGGGAGGGAGCACAAGTTTTCAAACACCTTCAAACAAGTACAATGAAATAAAAGCAAAGTAAAAGAACACAAACTCCCAAGCACAAAGGCTAGCGTGGGAAAAGTTGGATTACATAAGATAAACAAATAAAAAAAAAAAGGAAAAACTAAAACCCAAGCACAAGAATATGCATATGATCGATAATATTAAAGAGGAGACTCAATTAACTCTATCTTCATATAACAATCTTCACCATCTTTCACAAACATAATAATGCCTATAGCTAGGCAATAAAGATTCACAAATTCTGGGTGATGTTGATCATCAAAGTGGTACTAACAATCCTAGATATACAATATCTAGCTAGCTAGCAAAATGTGCCTAGTACTTTTGGGCATGCACTTTTGATCAATAATGATCACCATCATCATCATCATCATCATCATCATTAGGGTTTCCATGCTGAAGCCCAAACCACAGGCTCTTCTTTCCATGTCAAGTAAATGCCATGATCATTTTGTTGCTGCTCTTGTTGTTGTTGCTTAGCCTGAGGTAGAACAAGTCCCCAACCAGATGGGTACCGCTTAAGCAATGCCTTGACGTCATCCACAACATCATCACTATACAGAACCGGCGAAAATGCCTTCTTCATCCTCTCACTCCATTGTGTCCCCTTCTCTCTCCTCTCGAAGTCCCACCCGTCTCCGCTTTTGACGGCGTAATTAGTCTCTTCTCCTTCTCCTTGTTCTTTGTTTTCATCGTCGTAGTCGCCGCCGCCGCCGCCGCAAGCCAAAGCCCTAACTATCCCTCTTGAGCACTCTCTCTCCAACATCAGCTTCTCGTTGCTCGTCGGAGAAAAGCTCTCTTCCAGCATCTCGAAGTAGAGAGTGTAAAATCTAAGGCACTCCTCGAAGCGTTCCACAAAATCATTTTCGTCGTCATTGTTTCCCGAGGCAACCGCGGCGGCGACCATATTGGCTTCTTCTTCAACGATTGTCACGACTTTCGGATCCAGAGAGCGGAAGACCCTCACCGCAGCCTCCCTCTCTTCCAATCCCGCTCTCCTCAGCGCCCCGACGCAGTTCACGGCGACGGCCTCGTCATCTCGCACTCTGAGTGCTTCCCTCGTTAGGCGAGTACTATTTGGCCCTGATATCATGTTAAGTTCGAAGGGAACGCCCATTAGCGCCCCGACGCAGTTCACGGCGACGGCCTCGTCATCTCGCACTCTGAGTGCTTCCCTCGTTAGTCGAGTACTATTTGGCCCTGATATCATGTTAAGTTCGAAGGGAACGCCCATAAGCCTTGCGAACTTCTCCATCCTCTGACCGATTTCCTTCATCACCGCACCACCACCCGCTACAGCGGAGCTGATCACGTCGACGACGGTGAGCCTCAGCCGTGGCGTCTCGTCGTTCCTCGTGGCCAAGGCTTCCAGCAAAGTAGGCCATTGTGTACAAAGGGTATTGCTTATGTCAATTATGTGAAGCTTCGGTTCCCCTTCTAAGGCCTCCAAAATTGCGCCGTTTGAGGCAACATGACCAAAAGTCGTCCATGGAGTAACCTCTTGAAATTTCAGAATTAGCTTCCTAGCTGAATCAAAAGAACGGCTCTTCTCAGCCACCGAGCTCAGCGTTCTGTAGCACCGGAGACCGGAGCCCGTCGCCTTGCAGAAGAGAGCCTGCAAGAAGTAAGACGCCAGCTTCTGATCACAATCTCCGTAAGGGGAAGAGAGCTCGTTGAGCATCCAAAGAAGATGGTGGATTTTGGTGGAGTCCTTTTCCGATATTGCCCTTGCGCACTCCTTTAGAAGCCTTGAGGCCCATTGGCCGCCCCATGGCTCGGTTGCCGCCGCCGCCGCCACCGAGTCGGAGGAGATGCCGCTAGTTGAGGTGTGACTGTTGAGATGATTATTAATGGTGGTTGTGGTTTGCATATTGCCTATGGTTGTTGTAGTTGCGTAATCATTATTGGAATTGGAGTTGATCAAGAATTGAGCTTCTTTTGGTGTAGTACCAAAGAGGGTTATGTCCATGCTTATTGGGTTATGGAGAAAGGGCCTAGACTCTCTTGATTGAGAGTCTGAGGCACCCTTATGCAAGAGCTCATTGATATCTTTCTATTTGACCTCATCAAGAAAACGGCCAATTAAAAAGACATGACTTATTAAAAGCCCCCAATAAAAGTCCTTGTCGTGGCATCTAATAATAATATATATAGTCTCTGTCACTTGTATTGTTTTACATATTTATGATATTTAAATAATTCAAAGTGGGGATGTAGTAGGCGGATGTATATGGTAGTGTTTTAAGGCTATATTATATATATATATATGCATATATATACGCTTATGTATGGATGTGTGTATATATATGTATATATATTCAAGCAATTAAGCTTCCTGAAAAATGTCCAGGGTTTTGACTTGGTGTTGTGAGGTAGCAATTTTTTTTTCCTTTTCGATATAATTGAACAAAACTGGATAATATAAGGTGGATATTTTGTTATAACTGATCATCTATATATTGAAATATGTTTCTGAATATATTTGTTTCTAATTAATTTGATGTTCTAAAATTACACTTGGAAGAGTGATACTTACCTCCCTAATTGTCCTATAAGGAGAATCGTTATGACGCTTGGTTTGCATTTTTTTTTTTTTTTCATTCATATGGAAAAGGCGGGGAAATTAAAGGAATAAAGCTTTTATATCCAATCATTTAAAAAAAAAAAAAAAAAAAGGCCTGTGGGAATCCCGAATATACACATACGATAAAGCGAGAATTGCTAAAGCCATAATAAAGCAAAGATAACAAACAACATATTTTCTTTTAGCCAACAAAAACAAAGAGAAAATGGTAAGGGTATAGTCCTTGAAGCCGACAAGAGTTTGTGGGATCAAAATTTACTTCATCCTTATAACTTTGTCAACTTTACCATTGCAATATTCCGAACAACAAAAATCCGTTTCACATGTATTGGCTCCTTGTGAACTTGAACGCTAATTATTAGTTGCCTAGTACATTATCTTATGTAATAACTATTAGAATATTGTGCGTTTGAAAGTAAAATATATGTATTGTTGATTGTGACATTGATTTGACGATTACAATACATTAATAGTTTTGACAATTACTAACCATATCATGATGCTATATATCTGTTTCTTAATAGACTTTCTACAGTCTTATGAATTCCCAAGAGTTAGAAATCCGTATATTACTTGTATATTAATTATGTACAGTATGAATATAATTTACCTGTTCAACCTCTCTTTGTTTCGATGTTAATCGTCCGCAATAATCAAATAATCAGTACGCACTAAACAAATACTACTTTATCTATCATATAATTAACGTGTAATATGCATGATCAAATCAAATTTATAAACATACATACATATATATATATATATATATATATATTATTGATGAAAAAATACCACCGGGCACATGTGCAGACGCGTCTATGGTGGTTTCAGGTCTATGGTGGTTTCAGGTCGGATCTCCAATTCGACTCTAGTACATGATTCACCACGGGATAATCTCACGATACTCCAGTCATGAACATGTTCTTCATGCTCCAAGTCACGATCATCCACGATAGCGATTATAGCCACGTCAAAATTACTTGCTCACAGCCTGCGTAGTTATTACAAAGGTAGAACTTGAACAACCACGTTAAATGCATAATTCAAGAACCTACAAAGAGAGAGAGTACTCATAGAGTTTCAATGTATGCACGGTGGTTTCTGGTCCTATCTCCAATTCGATTTTAGTACTTGATTCCCCAGAAGATAGTGTCACGATACTCTAGTCACGAACATGTTCTTCATGCTCCAAGTCACGATCCTCCATGATAGCGATTATCACCATGTCCTAATTATTAATTGCTCACAGTGTGCGTAGTTATTATAAAGGTGCGTAGTTATTACAAAAGTAGAGCTTAAACAACCACGATAAATGCACAATTCAAGAACCTAAAGGGAGAGAGAGGGAATTATTCTTTTTTGATAATTTCTATAATTTTAAAGCCTATATTTTGAAAAATATTTTAACAATGGGAATATGTTTGTATATTTTATAAAAACAAGCTCGTAATATGTCATGACTGGGAAATTTGTCAAAAAATTATTGTATAAGATAAAATTTCTTAGAATTCTCCGTATTATAAATATGAATACTTTTATGATAAGTATTTGTTAATATTGATATTCAATAGCAAAGTGTAAGTTAAAAGTTAGAAATTTCTTAACTCTGATACAATTACCGAATTTCAAACTATAATCAAGAAAGAGGCACGAAACGTTGTGATAATTCCATAAGAGGACAACACATGAATATTAAGTTTAAGGAATGAAAAAGAACTAAAAAAATCAATTCTAGGGTTTTAGTAACAATCAGAACGAAGAACAGATGAAAAAGGGGTTCAAAAGGCCAAACCGAGAAAATTAAGATTTTCGGCCGATTAGGGTTGACTGAGTCAAAATTTGTTGACCAAGAGTCGACCAATAGGTCGCTCTTGAAAAGTTAGTCAAGGTTCAGTAAAGTTGACCAACTGTCTGAAAAACGCGAGTAAAACGCGCACTAGATAAGAATTAAACTGAACCGAAATAAAATAGTTATTAACAAATTGTTGAGATTTAAAGTGATTAATTGATGGAGGGCTGAGATTATGACACATAGAAAGTGAAGAGATGGCTGGCCAAGACTTAAGGGAGAAGCAAAGTGTGATATTTTGATATTTTTACAAAAAAGACCCTAGAAAATGTCAAAATTGCACATTGGTCCCTCATGCTTTTTGGTGGTTGGTTTTTAGAAGGAAAAATACAAGAAAAGTGTCCATTTTAATGCATGAAAGTAGAGAGAAATCAGCCAAAGAGAGAGAGGAAAAAAATTTCCCAAAGTGAGGAAACCGAGTTCAAATTGAAATCAACGGAAAACTACTGTGGATTAGCATCATCGGAACTTGTTCTTCAATCTTCTAAGCTAAAATTTATTTTTCTCCTCATTTTTCACCTTGGCTGCACGACCATGAATAGTGTAATCCATGAAAAAATTTTGCTAACAATGATGATTGGCTTATAGTTATGAATGGTACCGAAAAACCTAACGTTTAAAGGCTAAATTTTCAGTTATTAGATTATGTTTTTAGCATTTTTGTATAGGGAGGGATTATGATATTTATTATGGTGAAAAAGAATGAGAATGATTATGTGTTATGTTGGAAAGATAGAAATCACGGATAAAACGAGCTATGGTTAGCTCAGAAAACTAAAAAATTAGGCGGAACTCTGCCGAAATTTAGTTAGAAAATTTGAACTAAAACCAGTTTTAATGAAGAATAGGAGGACTAAGATGTGTAAAGTAAGTTGAATAGGTGAATAAAGATGTGTAGAAACCTAAAACGATGAAAATTCTTAGTTTCGGACCAAAACTGAAAACTAGGTTATCGACCTGAAAATTGATTCCGGCGCTGTTTTGACTAGAAACTAAGATAGAAGCTTAATTTCAAAAATTAACTAATATCAAGTTGAAGGAAATTTCAGTCTGAACAACTTTTGTGAAATAGCGTGTTTCCCAAAAATGAACTTAGACCTCAGTTTCGGGCTGATTTTCGAAACAGGTTCAATATGTGACTTAAGGCCAAAAGTGCATGGGTTTGGTGCACATTGATGATATAAGAGATGTTTCCGTCCGGATACCAAACATGAAATCGTAGGAAATCGTAGATCTCTTCAAAGATTTTAGAAACAACATACGTACTTTAAGAAAATAACATTTACAAAACCACGAATTCGAGTCAAATTGTGTTTCAATTACTGATATTAGATTGTAAATCTTATGATCGGGAATTTATATGACAGGACCAATAGGCGATCAAGGAAGTAAAGTTTCTGGAGACTCGAAAGCCGTGACCTTAGCAGAACTCCTGTAAGTACAATAGTTTTTCTATGTCTATATCACTAACAAGCCTATTTCCTTGTGTTGCACAAAATTGTGCATATGGTGAATTCATTGTTTGTTATTAAGTGAAAGATGTTTCTTGAATCTTATTTGTTGTTTTGAATGTGCTTACGGATTTGTATTAGTAGTAGAATTTTTCACTAAAAAGTCAAAGTCAAAGTAAAAGTCAGAGTCAAATATTTGAATAAAGTCTAATTTCATAAGAAATTGGTAAGAACGCTCAAAGATGTACTAATATGACTAAAATTACTGTCATTATAAGAAAAGATGATCGTAAGATGATAAGACTAAAATTACTGTCATAATAAGAAAAAATGACAATAAGATGATGAATAAGTAAAGATGTCAAGAAGTATGAAATGAAAGAAAAGAAAGCACAATATGAAAGAAAAGAAAGCATAATATGATGAACGCTTTGAATGTTTAGGAAATGTGTTAGGATGTATGATATGAATGCATATATGGGTATCCATTATCGTTGGTATTTATTGTGACCTATTGTTACTTGTTGAGCGAAAGCTCATCCCGTTTATTCATGTTATAGGAAGCTCAGGTAAGACACCGGATCCTTGAAATATGTTTACTGGGAGTGCAGAAAAGGATGAAGCAATGGGATGTGGGCAAGTGGGAAATGGATGAACCACATGTTTTGAAAACGCTGCTATGTTTATAAATAAATACTACTTTTGAATGTAAGAATATGTAAGTTATGAAATGAAAGAAATGTATATGAGACTACGGGGCTATACTTAGCAACCTCGAGTCACAAAGTATAATGATGTACTTAAAGTGCTATCAAATTAATGGCATATGAACAGCAGTGGAATGCAAACGGTAAGTTGAATGTATGTCCATGCTTAGTAGCAAATTTTAAAGTCATAAAACAATTTTATCTATAAATTATTCAATGTTAAAAAGTTGAAAATGTTTTCAGGAAAAAAATTTTGATATTCGAGTTTTACATAAGTTACTGATTGCAATTTTGTTTTAACAAAGCATATATTAGAATCAATTTTACTATTAAAGGAAAACAAATTTAGCCTAACTTTCAGGAGTTTATAGTTAAAAAATAGTAGAAGTTTGGAAATGAGCTAAGTATAACATAGTAATAATGGACCAAAAGTAAGGGTTGACATAGAACAAGTTCT